ATAGTAAGATTAACAGTGTCATCTGCTCATAGGTCGAAATTAATCAGAGGAGGATATTTAGATTGTTTTAACTTTTTCTTTTCGTATAGACATCTAATAATAATAATACTTCGTAATATGATTAACAGATATATCGACCTTCTAAGGCCATTTAAACAGTGACCGTGAACTAGCCAGTTAACAATTAAATATTTTCACCATTGGCTTCTTGTTAATGAATTCATGTTCAGTATCATTGCTCCGATGCTTCATTTTTTTTATTTTTTATTTGAATTATATTATTTACTGAGAATTGTTGAAGAGGAAAAGTATGTATTCCTGAATGTATGCATGATATACATATTTAGTGGTTGAGGACGTGTTTGGGGGAAGACAGCGAGTTGGCATTGAACTTGTGAGTAGGGCGGAGGTGTGTCTTGCAAGCTGCAGCGCTCAAGGCCGTCCGCCGCATAGCATTGTATCACCCACATCGATTTATCGAGCGGCGCGCGCCGCCCTCCCTCACCCTCCCTCCACCTCCAACATCCCGCGACACCCCGCAACACCCCACCAGCACCGGCGATGCCTCCTCAAGACTCCTCGCCTCCTTAGGAGACTTTTATCTGCTGTTTTCTCTTCTCTTGACAAGCGCGGCGTTCATAATTTGATGACGATGCTTTATAACAGCCAATTTTCTTGTCGTAATCTTTTTAATTGATGATTTATACTTATATCTTACTAATATTATAAATGCAAAGTTTAGATGGATGGATGTTTGTTAGAGATTTTTTTTTGAAACCGTGAGCGAATGCTAGTTTTATTATAAAAGGTTCACAACCGACTAATTTCGTTATACAAAGTATCTGTATCTGGTCTACTTTCAGAAGACTTAGACAAAAAACATTACCGGTAGAATACTGAGTCAACTCTCATGAAAAGCTTATCTACCCTATTTAAACGTACTAAGTAAACTGTTATAATGTACAAATAAGATGAACTAGTTGAGCATGCAAACTATTGTAACTTGTTAAGTTACTTTTTCACCTGTTTTTCATCATTAGCCTTTGTATGTCCACTGCTGGACATCGGACTTACTTAACACTATCAAAAGTATGCGGTTCTTCTACTTCCGCATTCAATGTATCACTAACAATTAAAGGTGTAAAAAAGATCAGGGGAAAAAATTGTGTTTAGTTTAAAATGATCATAGTTAATACTAATATTACAAGAAAGTTTAGATGGATGGATGCATTGATATCCACCAATGGATGGATGTTGTGGTGTTTGTGGCCTAAACGGCTTAACGGATTTCGATGAAATTAGGATAGTATGGAAGAACATATAGGCTACTCACTTTGTTTAATTCCACGCGGACGGAATCGCGGGCGAAGGCTAGTAATTGCTATAAAAACACAAAACATATGATTGATTGTTAGCGTCACTAATGACCCAGTTCGACGCGACTGATGTTTGATAACCTATCGCTATTTAAACTTCACAATAGTATGCCGTTCTGACATTTGAGTGATCTTCAAAATTGGATACATCAAACCGAAATGGATTCAAATAATTGAACATTGAAGTTAACGTTCACACACGTAATAATGTTATGAGAAGTAAAGTTTAAAAATAAAATAAAAACTATATTTTTTTATAAAAGTTTACAGGTCGTTAGTTCTGTACCTCCTAAGATAGGTCCCTATCTAAAGTAGGGCCCCCTCTTTAGTTACAGGACAGTGGCTTCTCTTAATACGTTCGTTATTTAAAGAATTAAATTAACATGACAGGTAAAATTGATTTTGTTCAAATTTGAAACGATTTATTTTTAAAAATGGTTTTTCAAAATCTAAAACAACACTTCGGAATTGGTACAGAAAATACGAATGAAGCTCGGCCGCTGGTATCGTAATGATTTCTAATATGTAGATCTTACAAATTTAACAAGAAGGCAGACAATCAATAAATAAAAAAATGTTTGATCGTATCTCAGACTAATAAATACTAAATTAGACATCTCATATATTACGTTGATTGCTTTCGAATCACTAGTAAAAGCCGGTTATTTTATCTCTGATCACCCTATTACAGTAATAAGGTCGCTACATTAGTAAGTGGTCGATCCCGATAAAGAAATATATGACTTTTATTTTATGTATTTTTCTATTGGTAAAATAATTATTGAAATTAATTCAAGTCGACTATGCATTTTTTAAATTTAAGATTGCCTGAAATAACTATGTAACAAAAAATAAGATGCACATTTTTATGACTTTTGCAGTTAAAAAATAAAATTAAATCCAAGTCACTTCTATATTTTATGATATTAAATACATACATTTCATTGAATGGCTTTAGAAAGAGACTTTATTACCATAATTTCCTCCATTATTATAATAATGTAAATGTAATAAAATATCCACAATATGGTAAATATTGTGTCATGTATGTATTTCCTTCCATAATTTCTACCGCTTCTAGATCATCTAACAACTACAAAGCGGACTTTAATAATCAAAATTCTAATTAGAAACGTTGCGGGCTCAAGAGTAGAGCTAACAACATACATGTTCACTATGTATAAATTTGTTAGGAGACTATTTCGTAAAGTTGGTAGCACTTCCAGCTCCGCAGGGTCTGGGACATCGTTAGACGGTACCACAGTCTGCATACAGAGCGACCTTAAGTTAATTTGCAACGAAGTCTGCTCCCGAGAGATCCCGCCGTCGATCCCGCCAAACGGTGCTTTGATATGCTTTACTATTCCGAACATGCCACGAATATATTTAATCTTTAAATATAATGGCTTTTCGGATTGTTCCCTGTTAGTAATTACTTTTGCTGTGACCAGTGTGCGCTGAATTTTCCAGCTTTTTTTATAGTGATTGGATCTTAATTATAAATGTTTGCGTTTGATATTGACCTTAAATTAATCACGATTGGCAACATTTTTGCAGCTTATTATGTTGTTGCAATTTTTTTAGGTTAGAAGCCACTTCACTCTTTAACGTTATTTGCCTTCAAAATTGTAGCCATATTTCTTAGAATTTCTATCATACTTCAGACTAATGTTATAAATGCAAAAGGATGGATGTTTGTTAGAGTTTGTAGCCTAAACGGCAGAACGGATTACAATGAAATTTGGTGTAGATGTAGAGGTTAGTCTGGAAGAACACATAGGCTACACACTTTGTTTTTTTTTTTTAACTTCACGAGGACGAAGTCGAACAACGAAAGCTTGTTGTAAATAATCCTGTAATTTGTTTTTTAATAAATAATTCCCTTTTAAAAGCCTAGAGAAAATTTAATAACGCTTTTAAAGATAACATAATGTAAACATGTTATCTAATCACTTAAAAGCACTCGAATATAATCACAGAAATAGGTTTACGTATTTTGGAAATCATTTTAAAATTTGGATAATAAAAATTTTTAACAATATGTTACAGTAGTATTAAGAAGATACCTTTGATAAAACTCAAACTAAAAACCCTTGTACTACGAGTATTATTACTTTTTAATTCATCGTATCGAGACAATTTTTGTTATGGATCATTTTGACTAGAAAATAAACGTCAGTTTCCAACATACACCTTATAAGATGTTATATGTACAAGATGCTGATTAAATGTAGTCTTCGACGTTCATCTTTGGTTTCAATGTAAAAGTTGTCGAACACCCATTTTACATTCAAAGCATGCACACCTTTACGTGTTTCACGCAGAACCTTAATTCAATATTTATTCGCCTCCACTCGTAAGCTCGAAAACAATGTTATGTGTCCCCGGCGGACGATAACGTGTGTCGATGAAATAACGATTGCCTTCGGTCAAAAGCCGGGATTCGACCCTCGAACTTTTAGGACACGAATCGATCTGTCTTCAATAATATATTTAAAGTAAAAAATTGAAAAACACATGTTCGGAAATAATCAAATCGTTTCAATTACATTTAAAAGCAGTAAAGGAGTATCATGGTTTAGATTATGTAAAGCTAATCATTCCCTAAAAACCTATTAATTCGTCAAAAAATTTAAAGTGCGACAGAAATATGCAGTGGACTTAGAAGAAAGTACTACGATAAGGTATATTTTTTAAATTTTAAAGGAAATTTAGATCGTGTCCTTTTTATAAAGAAGGTTTAAATAGTTTCTAACCTGAAACTTGATTGTGATTGATTGAATCGATGCACTGTAGGTTCATTACTTAAAGCTCTATCATCGGACTCCAATCTAACACCACCATCTTTTACGTTGATTAAAATGTCTGGATCTTTATGCAGTTTTTGCCGACCTTGAAGATTTTTGATTCATCATAAAACTGTATTATAAAATGTAATTTTCACTTTTGTACGTCCAGTGTAAGTAGATAATCATTCACGAAAAGCAAGCATATTGAGTAATTAAAACAACCACCTTATTATTGTCTTTGTCATTATTTTTATGAACATAAGAATGCCAATAAAAAATGTGACAGTGAAAATTGTAAGCCAATATTTCTAGTGGTGGTATCGTATTTCGAAGTGGTAAAAGTATTGTTTGACATTTCCACAATAAGAAGTAACTCTAGATGAAATAAAAATAATTTTGTTTTTCATTGAAATGAAAGCGTATTTTTGAATTTTCGTGATCTTATCCCAATTAATTCAAAGTTTATGAAATACCTTTTAACAATTTTATGACGTTGAATTCTCAAAGAAATACCAGAGTAGCGCTGCCCTCAAGAAATAAATTGAGTTTTGCGCCTTTAAAATGCATGTATTCCATTTTATATGCCAATAATGACACAACCATAAGTTTATTAAATTTTTCTGTAGTATCCAAGGCTTGAGTATGCAAATTTTGATCTTATTTCCTTCCCTTGTAATATTTAAAATGAATATTACGAAGAATAAAAATCGAAATGCAATTTCTAACACAGAAGCGTCTCCATCTACCTCACACCAATCGTTTCGATTCGTCTCAACACCATCAAATGTATGTAAATGATTCAAATGAGCTAATATTCACATTTTCCTTGTTTCAGAAAGTCACCAGCAGTTAAAATACAGGGAAAAAGAAATGTGTTTGAAACAATTACTGATCAAACTAGCAGACTACTTTAGATTACATTAAATTGACAGTTAGAGATTAAATCTGTCAATATGAGTGGCCACGATAAAATCGTGTACACAAAATTGCTATTGCTGTTGTTTGTTTCGGGCGCCTGGAGCAGGTCGTGGGCAAACCACCACGACACAACCACCTCGACAACTCAGACCACGCCAACAACCAGTGCACCCCCAAAGAACTTTCATAATGACCCCCTCATCGTCGAAACTAAGAGCGGTTTAGTGAAGGGTTACGCCAAAACAGTAATGGGTCGCGAAGTGCACATTTTTACTGGAATACCATTCGCAAAACCACCTCTGGGTCCATTGAGATTCCGAAAGCCGGTACCCATTGATCCATGGCATGGAGTACTGGAAGCTACGGCTATGCCCAACAGTTGCTATCAGGAGAGATACGAGTATTTCCCTGGATTCGAGGGCGAGGAGATGTGGAATCCTAATACAAACATATCAGAAGACTGTTTATATCTCAACATATGGGTGCCTCAACATTTACGTGTACGTCATCATCAAGATAAGCCACTAACCGAAAGGCCGAAAGTACCAATACTAGTATGGATTTACGGCGGTGGTTACATGAGCGGCACGGCCACTCTCGACCTTTACAAAGCTGATATAATGGCTTCCTCCAGTGATGTCATAGTGGCTTCAATGCAATACAGGGTTGGCGCTTTTGGATTTTTGTACTTGAATAAATTCTTTTCTCCGGGCAGTGAAGAAGCTCCTGGTAACATGGCCTTGTGGGATCAGCAGTTGGCAATTCGTTGGATCAAAGACAACGCTCGTGCGTTTGGTGGAGATCCTGAATTGATAACATTGTTCGGTGAATCGGCAGGAGGAGGTTGCGTTAGTCTGCACATGCTTTCACCCGAAATGAAGGGGTTGTTTAAGAGGGGCATACTGCAATCGGGAACTTTAAATGCCCCTTGGAGTTGGATGACGGGCGAACGTGCTCAAAGCATTGGCAAAGTTTTGGTAGATGACTGCAATTGTAACAGTAGCCTGCTAGCTACGGATCCGAGCCTTGTAATGGACTGCATGCGCGGTGTGGATGCTAAAACAATATCAGTACAACAATGGAATTCTTACACCGGTATATTAGGGTTCCCCTCAGCGCCAACCGTTGATGGTGTATTTCTTCCGAAAGATCCAGATACGATGATAAAAGAAGGGAATTTTCATAATGCTGAAGTATTACTTGGGAGTAATCAAGATGAAGGTAAGTTTACCATTTAGTTCGTCACAATATAATATACGACGGGGATAAAACGCTTTAAATAAGTATGAGTACATGTGGAATCTAATTACAACCGTCAAGGTCATGTTTGAATGTCCGGTTTGTCTAAACCAGTATTTGAATTACACGAATGTAAATTCAACCTTGTTTATGAGATAATTAGATTATTAAGCTCAACTCACTGTACCCATCTAACGTTTCAAAAAATTTTACTATTGATAAACATGCAAACATACAAACATACATACATAACACACATTTACATATCCACAAAAAATTACCAGGACAGAAGTGTCTTTACTCGTTAGAAACTTAACAAATCTTTCCTCCGTATAATTAGTATAGATTTATCCGGTCATTAGGTTGAGTGCTTCACCTGAGTCAGTAAATTCTCTCCGTTTCTAAGATTACAAGGTATTTTATTTGTTTTGGATATGTTTTTTAGCTATTAACTTAAACTTCTCTATTGCGTTTGAATTCAAATGACGTAAAATTGTCAATAAACAAGTTCTTTTTGATTCCAATGAGTAAGAAATATAATCAAACTTTTAAAGAAAATTCGTAGATCTAGAATTCAAATCTACCCGTACATTGACGCGTCGATAGTAAGATGATTAGGATAACTTCAAAACAACATCTATCAATATCGGTCGAGGAGTTCGAGGTCGTTTGATTGTCGGAGGCGTAGAGTGCGGCGCACAGGTGTAAGTGCGGCGCGGCGAGGTGAGGCGCGGCGAGGTGCGGCGCGGCCGACGGGGCACACGCCTGCGCAAACCTGTGTAGACACAACAATAACACGCTGTGGATAGTCGTACTACCAGGTACTACAGACTCGCCCACGTAGCTCAGGCCTCCGACACCCATCCCCTGGCCGGTGTTGCCACGCACACCCCTAACCCCCTCCCATCCTCCTGCGCCACCACGTTTGCCCAGCCTGATAAGAGCAACTTCTCGAATGCGGGCACCGCCGGCACCTGAATCTTATTATTTTAAATTGTTGAATGCCCTACTTTACTTATCTTATTTACCACGAATCTTTTCTAATGTAAATCAATCGTTGCGGCGAAAATATCGATGTTAAAAAGGAACTGCGTGTTGATCGCGACGGATATCCGATCTGCACGTCTCTCCGCTTGTACTCTATGTTAAATTGAACTCGTCATTACGGTTTCCGTTGGATCTGATGTATCAAATGGATAGAGGGATACAGTGACATAAAAACAAAAGATTCCATGTCAATATTTAGTCGTAGATGATTGTATATGTCGAAACATTCTGTAGACATGACCTTGACTGTGTGTACATTTAGAAATCGTGGCTTTCCGAATAACTAAAGGCGTGATATAACTTTAATGAACTGACTTCTCGGAGAGCTCTTTACCTTCACTGCATTCATATTGTATACATAATGAGATGCATTTTTTATATGCAGATAAATTATGTTGCATAAAAGATCTAAGCGTCAAACGTTGCCTTGACGCCCGGTAAAGATGTGCAAATGTTTGTTTTGCTTTTGTAGCCTCGTTGGCTTTGTGCATTTGTTGTATTTGAAGAATTTAACTCGGCGTGTTTTATACGGATCAAAAAACATTTTGTACTTCGTAGATGTTTTATTCAGAAGCAAACAAGTGTTTCCTTTGAGAACAAATGTGTTGAAAAGAACGACATGATTATTAATTGAATATGAATATTATTTTTATCGTTTAAACATAGTTATGGTTTATTCGATTGTACAATATACTTCTACAGAAATTTTGTTGAAATTACGATCCCCTTTTATTTTTTTTCTCTAGTAAACAGAGCAATAACCATTAGCCTTTTATGGATTTTATTCCTGCATATTTTATCCATTGTTATGATTGTTGTAATCTCATAGATTATCGTAACAGAGATATCCAAATGGGCGAGCTTACATAAAATCTTTAAATTGTGAAATATTTTGTTGGAATAAAATTACATTATGTAAGTTTTATTTGAAACCATATGAAACAAAAAATTACACTGCTCTACCAGACATCTCAATGATTTTTTTAAACAAAAGAATCGTTTTTTCAAATATGAAATTAGAGATAATCTTTTTAAATCGATTGCAGTAAGAAAACATCGTTGCTACGATTGGTGGATATTAAATTGGTTACCTTTTAAACATACATATATACATACATTTGTATATATTGTTAAGTAAGTAAGAGATGTATGTTTTTTTATTACAGGCACATATTTCTTACTCTACGATTTCTTGGATTACTTCGAAAAAGACGGCCCAAGTTTTCTGCAACGAGAAAAGTTTCTTGAGATTGTTGATACAATTTTCAAAGAATTCTCGAAAATTAAGAGAGAAGCAATTGTTTTTCAAGTGAGTATCTTTAAAGCGTTTATAATTTTATTGTTATTAAATCGGTACCTTGTATCTGTTGTATTTATTATTCATTAAGTGCTATAATTTATATTTTACATTGTTTACTTCATAACTTTTTTTATATTTTAATATAAGGGCTATTAATTTTCTCCTCCTTAAGTTGCATTAACCATGTATTACATTACACTTTAAATATGTCTAAAATACCACAATTTCTATTTTAAATTGTGTGGTCAATGCATGTTTACTCATATTGTTAAAGTATGAAAGATGTACAAATGAATACAACTCTATCCTCAACAAGCAATCTGTCAATTTCAATTTCACAGAATATGCGCAATTTATGTTTGCATGAAGCAAATTGTGGTCGTGTTCTGAGAAACGAGTAAAGAGGATGTTCAATTTGAAATGACCAGTTAAGATGTAATGTGCGATTCCTGCTTTGGATAGTTTTACAACTAGGTGCTGAATATCTGTGCCCTATAATTTAGTCTTATATAAATACATTACTTTAATATAAGGTTACTGCACCAACATTAGAAGTAAACCCCCGGGTATTCTCGGAGGTATAAAAACTACATTATCATAATTAAAAAGTATGTAGTAAGACAATATTATTAACAGAACGATTGTTAGGAATCATCAAATGTAAAACATTATAATTCTCTATTACCGTAGATAATAAATCAAATAGAATGACCCTCGTGGGACAAGGACGTAATTAGTGTGTCGACGAATAGAATCGTTTGTATGAAACATGTACGATAAACACAATTGTGCATAAATCATCCTTTCATTTACACAACACTGATTGACTTGTCACATTATAATTAAAACAACATTGTCAACAATTTGCTTTTACTTTTAGTATACGGATTGGGAAGAAATAACCGACGGCTACTTGAACCAGAAGATGATCGCAGATGTGGTGGGCGATTACTTCTTTGTCTGTCCAACCAACTACTTCGCTGAAATCCTCGCAGACGCTGGCGTCGAAGTCTATTACTACTATTTTACCCATGTGAGTATTATAATTTTCAAATCATTCTAAATTTAAAAAGTTCCGTAGTCTTTCAGTTCTCTTATGACAGACTGAGATAATTTTAAGAGGACAAACTGCCATGACAGAAAATTGACCGATTAGGCCGAGAAACATTAATATACAATTATCAGGCAAAACATCTAAATTTCTTTTTAAATAATGCATTTAAAAAGTCTTTTTGAAAGCATGAAAGTCAAATGCAATCCTTTGAAGAAGAATACTTAATTAAAGTTAATTTCTCGAGGGAACTAGAAAGCACAACCTCAAGGTATTGCGGCGGAAACATTATGAGACGCGGGCTGGAAAATACAATTTCCATTATCTAGAGAGAGGGTAATGCTGCAAGTGAAGCTGATAGGAAAAAACAAAGGACCAGTTTTTGCGGCCAGTATTCCTGTCTGACCAAAATGTTTATAAGGAGATAATCAATTTTTCTCATAGATTAATAGCTAGAATTGATGATGTTCAAGTTCCAAAATTTTGTTTGATTTTCATATAACTAGGTTAACTCTGTTTCATTTAAATCTTAAATATATAGAAAATTACCAAAGTGCAGAAAAAATAACAAAATTATAAATGTATTTTACAATTTTGCAGTCAAATGTGCACTTCACATTTGGTTTCGAAGAATCCAAACGATCGAAAGAATTTAAAAGAAGAACTTACCTCACATTCAGATGTAGGTTAAAAAATTCAAAGTCATTTCTGTGAGGAAGACGCTCTTGAAAGTTGAAACCGGTTCCGGGCTAACACGTTAATTTGGCTAACGAACCAAACGCGAGTGCCCTCGTGAAGAGCCTGCCTGCAACATTCGCTTTTTGCTTTGGCGCTGCGAGCTCAAAGGCTGAATTCCGTCGAAGCGGAGAGGGCGTAGAAACGTTTTGTGAATTCCGTGCAAAAGTGCATTACAAATTCAATATACCAGTAGACGCTTATTGAGGATACTATGAATACGGATTTTACTCACTTGAATTATTATATTGAAATGTTAAGTACGTTTTGTAGGACTACGACTTAGTTAAAGAGAAACTTTTAACAATGTCAGCAAAATGTTCATGTTTGTCAAAGTTTGTGAATCTACTTCGTTATTAGTTTTAAAAAACGTTCAACAATTTCTAATTTTTTTACGATTTAGATTAAACTTCCTGTGCCTATCGTTACATTAATTTGTGACTTCCGGAATAGACAATACTAGGCTGTTATCATAACACAAGTTTATATGATTGGATTGCACAATTTCTTGGATTTACCAATTAGTTCATGTTATTTCATCGTCCTGTGTAATAGTTTATAGGTTCTTACCATGCTTTATTACAGTAGAAATTATTAGGACATTAAATAGTCATCATCATTACACCGCTGACTGGTATCCGTGCAAGGAATGATTGTTCAATGCGCTTATAACGGAATTTATAAATATGTCTAGCGATTACATTAGTATTTTTAATTGTAGTGTTGTAAAGTAGAATAAATATCGAAAATTAATCGTCTTTGCGTTGCTAATAACGAAAAAATATTTTTTGTCTGCCAGTCTGTCTGTCTGCAAGTTCATGTTCGCTCCAGGTAAACTCCGAAACGGCTCGATCAGTTTAAATGACTTTGTGAATAAATCCTATTTAATATTTAAGAAATGAAATTAACATACATTTGCAATTTCTTTTTGAAAAAAGTATTCTGAAATAAATTTGAATATATTGTGCACTATGTCTTAACAAACTCTGAAGCAAACTTGCGCCGCTATTGTGTCCATACATCTCCCTACCCTTGAATATTTTCGCTTCTTTTGTGATTCAATTCTTCAAGAATAGCCACTCAAGCTTGTTCCTTTATTGTATGGACTCAATTTTAACATTATGCTTCTATTGTAACATTTTAAATGGATATCCAAGTGTCTTCTATATGTAGTTTTAAATTTTCTTTTCTCAACTAACGGAAATGTATATCCTTAAATTTAAGTTATATTTTTAGGTTCCATTGGTAGGACTATTGTATTTTTTATTAAGTATAATATGTTATGGAGCGCTATAGCTTTATAGAAAGAAATTATCGCTGGCCAGTCCATAAATGATTAAAATTTATTACGGTTGAGGTTATGTAAGTTGCTGACAGGTATCCATGTGTGTTCATTGTGAGCACGTCAGTTCCTGGCCGGTAACGTCGGCCGCACTCATCAAATATTCAACGGTAAACTTAACCTGGATTATAATTTGTGAAAATATTATGTGGTTTGTATCAAAAAAAACAACGATATGATAGCTTTACGATCCACATTGTGGCTGGTATTCTGATTTTTGAATGTCAAAAATGAAGTTAAAGCTGGCTGGATTATTCCGGATAATGAGAGGAATAGAATTGATATTTGAGAACTTACGGAAGACGTGGATACTGCAGTAGATTTTTGCATTCAATATCACAATATATACGTATAGTTAAATAGAATTTTTTCAAAATTATCTCAATTCTGTTTATCCAACAGTTAATTGAATTCAGCCTTTTTGCTGGGAGATGTTGATTTTATTAAAGAAGTAGTCAAAGTTATAGCGAGTTGGGAAATGTCCAAAAGCTAAGTTTACTTAGACCGAATCGTATTCGAATTCGACTGGAGTTTACCGTTTTACATAATCGTGTCAGAAAAATATAATTCTTATCAAATTTATATCTTTAGAAACGAAAAGTAAAAGATCGAATAATGTAAGTCTTATTAACATAAACGCCCACAGCTTTAAAGAATATTATTAGTGCTTTAATATAAGTTCTAAAGTATGAAAAAGTAAGAAAAGAAATGAATGCCTGACAATAAATCAAAAAGTTGTCCGGGGCGGCGACGACGGCGATTTGTCGCTGGAATAAGGTTTGACAGACGAGCATTGTCGGCAGTTTATGGGTCACGAGTGTCCAAACAAGCTTAACTGACGGTTGGGAACATTTTGTGAGGCATTAAATAATAAAACGTTCGTTATTTTCTTAGACACTCTAAGTGAGATTTTGATTTGAAAAGTAAACTGTTACAATTTATAAACGAGGATTTCATATTTTTCCAACTAGAGCTTCTTAATCATACTTCATCGTAATTAACTAAATTGAATTTGTCTCTTATATTATTTATGTTTATAGTAAAATCTGAAATCGCTTATTTTCCAAAATCTATAAAATAGATTTGAGCCTGTGAGGCACCTTTAATGATGAATTAATAAATTTAAAATTCTTCTATTGTGATTAGTGTGCTTAAAAGACTTCCTTGCAAGCTTGGGTATTTGGATTGATTTATCTTTGTGCTTACAAGTACTAGGAAATGTTAAATCCCCTGCAAATTCAGAAGAGATCTAGAATCATAATTCAATGTCGCAATACAAGTAACAAATCATACAACTATGTCATGTTGCAACAATAACAAAATACAACAGACAGTCTTGTGGGTCGAGAATTGTGGTTATAAATAATACAAAGTACTTACCACAAGACAATCTGTAATTTAAAACTACCGATATGGAAACATTTCATTAGTTACATACAAATAACTAACTATTAAAAAGTATTGTGTTCTTTTAATTTCTATGATGCTTGGCTATTCTACTTATGTGTCCAGTTTTATTTATTTCTTTTAATACTAATTCGTGGTATGAACTATTCTAGTACTTCGTTATCATCACCAACTCACTATATGTCCCCACTAAGGGGCTCGGAGCCTACTCTAAGAGGCTGGGAGTATTCACAACCGTCACTCCGCTCTGTCCGCACGTAGGGAAAATCACATTTGTACATGGCGGGATTCGACTCCAAGACTTGTATATTACAAGTCAAGTGCTTAAACCACTGAGCCACCGACGCTCTTGCTTTGTTATATACTTAAACCAAATATAGACTAGTGAATATAAAGTTATATCAGTTTTCACATCCACACGTGAACTTTTACCGTACCTACGACGCTGCTCCAAATTTGATCGGAGCTAGTGGAGCGGTATTTTATTAGTACGGAAATTTGCTAAACTTTGAATATGCAAACAAAATTACCGCTTCGCTACATTCTGCTTATAACATCAAAATGTTTTCTGCGGTTATGTAAGTGTGTTTGATGTTATGAACCTTTAACCATTATGTTTAATGGTAGATGAAACGAAACGTACATTAACGATATTTCCTTTGCGTGAGATGTGTTTTACTATTTTGTGTCATATACAATGTATTCGTAAGTCTAGGTAGAATGTCATCGGTATAATATCATGAACTATATTTCAGTTATTTAATCGCGCTATTTTGTAATAATTCTTCTATATTAAGTTAGGTTTAATTTGGAACAAGATTGAGGATGTACAATCTAAGGAATGCAAAAAATCCGGAAATAAGGACAATAGAATAAAAAGGTTACATATGGAAATAAAAAAGAGAATTTATGAGGACAGCCCCGATGTTTGTCGTTAAGGAATGGCTGCGAGCTGTTTTAATAAATTAGGCATGGGTCGCACTAGCCGTCGCCGCCGAGCCGAAGTCAAAGGTCACAGATTAACAGCTGGCTATTTCGGGTTGTGACCCGTCGCCGTTCCATTTGTGTCGCTGACTGTTTTGTTATTGAATTATAACTTCATTTAAAAACCGTCATATGATGGAATTTAAGATGCGTTAATCTTAATAACCAAGGTTCCTTATTCCTTCTGTCATCTTTGTTTTGCAGTGTAGACACTGTGAAATATAATCTATGATGTCATATATTGTTGATATTTTACATTAAATTCACAGCAATGCCTAAATAATTAAATTTAGTAATAATGTATTGGGAAACTTCTAAATTGCTTTATAATTAAAACACCAACGAAGAGCGTCCAATTATTAACATCTTTCCTGTTGACAAGCAACCTACCCCTTTCAGCCTTACCCCTGTTTTAAAATTCATTAAATCTGCAGGGACATCGGTTTAACAACCTCTTTGCTTTATTGACAAAGGACCGTAACAATATACTTTTAATTCTAGATTTGTTTTACGGCATTCTTTTGTAGTGCAAAAATGACCTATTTTTGACCTTGTCTGTAATAATAAAATTTAAACACGAAAGCTTCAATTAGTAAATATAGTATTAAATGGTTCAAGGGCAATTATTGTCTCAGATTAGGACTAAGTCTTAATCATCTTAATTGCATCACATTGTTGATACACGAACTAAACTGATTCTTAATGTAGAATTCGAGTGCCTCAATATTTAAACATCATAACCTACCTGGACCACTCACCTAAGGTTGTCGAACACGGTTTTATAAACCTTCATGTTATTGTTTTGACGGCCAGCCGCCTGCACGTCACCAACCCTAAAACTCAACTGACTAATATTTTGCATACACACGTCAGTTTTAAGTATAGTTTGTACGTTCAGGTGAACTGAAGGTGTATAACGGGCTTTATGTAGACCAACGATTGATTATCATGTTACTTTATTTTAGTTTTGTGACCTGCTTTTATTAGTCTACTGTATTTTTGTGTCAGGTGAAGCATAATTGGTACATGCTATTTTTAAAACTAGATCTCGTACCTATAAAGGTTTATTTTGTTGGGCAATTATTATTCGATTATAGTTTTTATTTGTTTCATATAGACCTGATAGCTTTTTAACTCATTCGACTCCGGAGTAAAGTTTAGTACTGATATTAAAGACATATTCCATTGGGGATCTCGATGATGTACGACTACATTAAAGTATATGTTGTGGACGAACTTTTATTCAAATAAATTAATTACAAAAACTAGAATGGAAAAGGTTAGAATAGAAGGTCAATGACACACGTTCAAAATCGTAGGTCGCAACAATATTAAGGTAGAAATGTTACATTTAATATGAGTGTTGACCTTTCGCCTCGTCATATACCGTATGTTTGTAGATCACACAGCAGCCCCTTTCCTTGCATTATTAAAAACGTTACAAACGGTTTCTTCAATGTCCGGGTTTGGAAAACATTATCCTTTAAAACGTAACACAATTTTACAAACAAATAAAAACACTTTCTTTGAAGCAAACATTCAAATCGTTTGGCGAATAGTAAATAAACTGATCTAGCCTTACTCTTGTTACACAAATCCCCTACAGAAATAGTTCCTATTAGAAAAGTATAAGCAACTGTTTAGCAATTGTTTAATTTATTTCTTTTGTTTCTATTTCCAGCGAACAAGCACCAGCCTGTGGGGTGAATGGATGGGCGTAATGCACGGAGACGAGATGGAATACGTATTCGGGCATCCTCTGAACATGTCTCTGCAGTACCACACCCGCGAGCGAGACCTGGCCACTCACATCATGCAGTCATTTACTAGATTTGCTTTAACTGGGTAAGTTATATGGAAACATGTCATACTTGGTAATGATGACTGACTGAAGACCTTCGTCGTAATTGAAAAAAAATCACGTGTTCACGATAAACACACATCATTAATATTTTACATGGAAATACGCACGAAATAGATTTGATGAAAAGAACTATTCTCTTTCTTACTTCCAACTTCTCGCCTTTTACTATTAAACCTAAAGGTGGGATTACTTTAGACCAAATGTAATATTATGTTGCTCTTGTCAGCATGCAGTGCAGTAGTTACTGAAAATCTAGAATAATCAGCTAATTTGCGTACTTTTTTTAATCAAAAACATTATCTTTACATTACAGAAAGCCGCACAAGTCGGAGGAGAAGTGGCCTTTGTACTCGCGGTCGTCGCCTCATTACTACACGTATACAGCTGACGGTAGCAGCGGTCCAGCCGGCCCACGGGGTCCTCGTGCCTCTGCATGCGCTTTCTGGAACGATTTTCTCAACAAACTTAACGGTAAGATAGCCTACAACTACTTTCGTATACTTAAATTTTTTCATCGTTTTGATAGATTCCATTTCTTAGACCTAAAAAAAAAAAAAATAATCAGAAGGTGAGGAACACATGTGCCAGTTTTATTTTGCTTTGTTGAAATGCTCCTTAAACATTTTTAACTGTCTGTTTCCGTGCGGCTTCATCCGCATTAAATTATTTTATCGTTTTATATTAAATGTTTTATTGAATGTCAGCTAGCTGTCTTTCTTTTCTTTTTCTATTATAATTACTCATTGTATCATAAACACGGAAGGTAATATTAATCAGTGTTTTTTTTATTATCAGAGCTGGAGCACGTGCCTTGTGACGGGGCAGTGACGGGTCCCTACAGCAGCGTGGCTGGTACAACCCTGCCGATAGTGTTGCTTACAACGCTAGCTATTACCGCTACACTTTAAAATATAACGCGAATTGAACGTGTTGAGATTAAATTCCCTTAACCCGTTGTCTTAGATAAGTGACAAACGACACTAATAATTACTATTGAATCATAATGCTAAAATAGCCAAAAATAGCTCCAAGAACTGCTTCTATTGTCGAATTTATCACTTATTTAAAATAACGGGTAATCGCGTTTTTTTAGTAGTTTGTACTTTAACGTTAGTGATTTTCCCTTGATGTTTTATAAGTTTTATTAGATAAGTTGCATTGTTTATTTGATAGGTGAAGTGTAAAGTTTTTGGTGACAGTGTAAGATACAGTGAGAGACTGATAGGCAATGACGTTTATTAATAACGATTTAAAGGTTGAACCGAAAATTTGGTGTACTAATACGTATGGAGTGAAATTTGACATTTGTCGCTAATGAATTGGGTTGAACTCCCACGTTTTTTTTTAAATATGGTTTTCAAATATAGAAATGCTTTTTATGTATTAAAGGTAAAAAGCTGTTATACATAACTGTTATTTGTACCTAATAAAAATTGCTTTCTCTATGTTCCTATACGTAATTTTATAGAAGTCCTTATTTTTTACCTAATCCTCTTAAAACTGTCTTCGTATTTTCCGGACGTTATTTATATTGTAATATCTGATTTTGTTTAATTAATACGTCTATCGATTTTATGTATTAGAACATTATATGTTGAGAATTTGATGTGTAGTTTTTGTGTAATTAGACAAATTTGTAGGTCGGCTTCGTTCGATACAGCGTCGCCTGACGTCAGTTGACTTGAATCACAATACATATCAATGTGTGCCTCTGCTTATAGCAAACGATACATATCTTTAACGTAGTGACTAGAATTATATATTATAACGGAAATATTTTAGAATCTAGGGAATTTTTACCAATATATGTACATTATGACTGTTTGTGATTAGGGCGCTATATCGTACCACTTGAAATTCTTATGAAATCCACATTCTTATGACTATAATCAAAATATAGTATTATATATTTTGTAAATAATCCCTTCTTATGAATAGTTCACGATATTTTGAACACTAAATAGGATTTTTCTATGTATGTAAAAGCAGTGTTAGGAGTATTTAATAGCAACGTAAGGATTTTCGACTAATTTATATATGTATAGATGGAAACACTTATGTGCACTGAAATGGCAAATTATGAATTTATTTTAATTACCCCAATATATTGTAAAATATGCATTACAAAAATATCAATACAAGTTGCTGCAAGGATTTTGCTTTAGGTGAAAATCAATTTATGAATATAAAAAATGTTACATGCAAAGTATATAAATAATAAGTAGCTAATAAAGTATGACTTTAAGTGGAAATTAAAAACGTCTTAACTCACGTTTTTATTCTCCGGTGACGGCACCAAGTAGGGTCCGTCTTCTGGGCGAGTAATAGTTAGCTTTTGTTCGCGGTCACGTCGCGCCCCGCACGCGCAGTATTAGGCTCTCTATCACTGGAGGAAAAAACGTCAGTTGAACCGTGTTTAATTTTCGCTCAAAGTAATTGTTCCACGATAGTTTAAACAATTTAATTAAATATGATATTGTCAATTACTATCCAAGTACGATATGACGAACAAAGAAGGTAATTATAGAGCTCGAAGCTAAACAAATGATGTAAGATTTTAACAACCACACAAAAAAAAAATATTACTTGAGTAAGCAGCAGTTAAAAAATAATAATTCAACAAATTACAATTATTTCAAACGTTACTTAAACTGGCGATATTTTAGCACAAATTAACTAAATGGTATTTAAATTTCAGACTATCGCATAGTGCTGAGAATGTTAGCTATTAAAAAGTAGATCTGCACCCACACTGGCTTCGTTGAATTTAGCACAATTTAAGAAGTTGTATGGGATAGCTTTAATTAGTCTAAAGTGACATGTAAAGAGAACATTCGTTAAGATAATCCTAATATAATACTTTATTTAAAAAGCGTGTTTTCATTGTATTTTGTAGTTGTGAGTGCTAAGTTAGTTGCTTTGAATTGTCTCATTGTTGTTGAATTAAGATAAAAAAAATTGTATTTTCTGTTATAGAAATAACTTTAAATTATTATTATATTAAATGTTTATGATTGAAATGCTTTGATTAATGTGTTAATATTTTCAAGTATTAATTTCGTAGAAAATAAAATATAGGTTTATTGTAAGCTATATAGGGCATCTTAAGTTAACAATGTTGAATGAACTTAATTTAGATTTTAAAATAACCAGAGCTCAATAATGCAAAATTGACAACTGACAAATATCTTCCATATATCTCCTGATTCATTTATTTGAAATAAATTTACAATGTTTTCATTTTCCAGAAACACAGTATTGTTTTATAAGTATTACTTTGGTCAAAAACTAACCATTTTATTTTAAATCTACAAGGTAATTTTTTAGAAGAGAATTGAGATCTCGAACCATTTTTATAATGGTAGAAATAAATCACCCTATTTCCAGGACAATAGTCAAAGGTCCGTGGATTCATACTTTTTATTTGGACATGTTTTCGTATTTACTTTATTATTACTGGCCTAACGAGTGTTAACAATGTAAGAAATATTACATGTGAAATTTTCTGTTGTAAAAAAATTAATTTCCTGTTAGAAGAGCAGATTTCTAAAAAACTATGCCATAATATAGAGTTTTAGCTTTTAGTGTAATTTAAAAAAATAGGTTGAATGTGACCGATATTAGATTTGTATAAATGTCTAATATTGTTAATTAAATTTAAGCTGTAAATTTTATTTTGAACTCATAAAGAGCTTTGTTAAGTTACTAGATAGCAGGAATTCATAAAAAATAACAGATTATACGTAGCGTTAAATGTAAAATTTAAACCGAATATTACACAACTAAAAAATTATAGTCATTATTAGAATGTTTATTTGATTCTGTATTATGTTATTCAAACTTTACATATGCTCGGGTTAGATCCGAACAAATTGTCTAAATCGATGTGCCCACTGTGGGTACTTAAAGGAGTACTTTGCTGATCGCTTGATCCGAAATTCCGAGCAAGCGTATAGTTTGGATATCATTATACATGTGTAAAGTACAGTAGAATACAAACTTCGTTAGATAAATGTTCAATGTTATTTGTGAAACGCTTGCAATATGTGCGTAATTTGAACGTAATGTAGACTCTGCTTTAAATTAGGTGCTAAATGTATACATGTCGGTGTGCACTTCATTTTATAATCTTTTTGAGAAAAAAAAACAGAAATGCGTTTGACATTGGACAATATCTGTTTTATACTTTGTATCCAAATGGGTGAAAACCGAACAATTCATAGTATAAGGGCAGGCTTTTTTCCGCTATTATACAATCATATTTGTATGTAGATGTTTTAGAGAAAGTTTAATGTCAGTAAACGAAAATGTTGAAATCAAAGCTTTGTAGTTATATGGATAATTGGTTAATTCTGTAAGTAATCACGCCATACTCTGAAGTACACCTAGATCCTTAACACGTTATTTCTATTTGAAATAAAAGAATGAAATAGTTAATTTAACAGAAATATTGTTTTTTAAAATTCGTTTGTACAGTCGCACTAAGATTTGTTTGTCTGTAGAAAAAAAGGAATATTTTTATCCAAATATTGTTAGACAATAGTTGATAATTTGCTTTAAATATTTATTATTATTATCTCTATCCTGAATAAATAAAACTAACTGAAATCGTTTGTTTACTTTTACCTTAAAGTTATTAGTTTAAAACAATGTTTATAATTTATTCTGAAACTAACTTTCGCCCACAACTCCATCCATGTAAAATTTATAAAATTGGCCTGAGTGTTCTTTCAGAGTGTCCTCTACATCTATGCCAAATTTCATTGATATCCGTTCTGCAGTTTAGACTACAAACTCTAATAAAGATCAATCCATCTAAAATTTCGCATATATTAAAATTCCGACCCAATATTTTAAATTAAAGCATACTTACTGAAAACGTTCTCATATTTACTTTAAACTGCTGCCATCTAGCGTAGCTTTGATAAAAGTTAAGGAAACAATGTTTTCGCATTTTGTGGAAAAATGTCTGATCGCAAGATGTCACCTGTACCTCTTAAACAAAATTACAATTTAGTTAAAACCATGTTAAGGCCAATAGTGTGTTACAAAAAAAAGGTCTCTACATTCTCCACTCTTCTGATTATTAAAAATATTAATTGAATGATAATATCCCCATGTTCCCAGGATACTGTTTCTGATAAAACTAGTTTAAATCCTACAGAGATTTTATGAAATAAAACATCAATAGGAAGAGTTAAGTTTATATTTATTGGTTCGGGTTATCTTAGAACAATGTTCACATAATTATTTTGACTAGATTAAAATACATGTACACGAACGGGAGAGATTCATTTGTTACACATAACTGAATGAATATCCCGACTAGTTTTGTTATATTGTGATGATAACATTTTCAATTATTATAAAATGTATAACAGAACATTTTGTTAACTTCATACAGAAGACAAATAAAACGGTAGAAATCGTAACTAAAATTAAATTAACTCATATATGTGTATTATAATTTTTTTATTTTCTACATCAAGACAAAAAAATCACACAAATACCTAAAATTACATCAGTACACGGGACCATTGCGTTACATTTCGTTTTCATAAGCGGTGTATAGAGGGCTCTGATTACGATGTATTTATTTATCGAGGGGAGCGCAGTTAAAATAGGCGTCTTGAATATGTTCAACTATCAAGGGACTGAAGCCGATTGTCACGGAGTTTTTGTACAGGCCACTGGACACCAAACGGACGACGGTTTCCTCACAGGCGATGAACAAGGGTCGTTGACCTGAAACATAAGTCGTATCCATTTTTAATGTTCTTTTGCTATTGTACTCGAATCCTTGTGTAATTCGAGAACTATTGTTATTTGTCTTCATTCTACTGGGATATCGTTTATTTGTTAAAAGATTTTCGTTCATCCTTCGATAAAATTTCGTACAAGATTATGTTATAATTTACATTGTTAGTGAAAATGGAATTACATTTTTTACTTGATATGAAAATATATTTTTAAATTTTCGTCATTCAAAGGAAAGTTGCGAAATCTAAGTAAAGACGTCGACGGCTAGAAAATTACAATTTTAATTTTCAATTATGAAAACAGATTTTTATTAAAATTTAATTAAAGTTCCTTACAATTTATGAAGAAAAATATTTTAACTTAAAACGACTCTTGTAGAGCAACCAATAAGTAGCACAAAGAAAAGCAATTTTGCTTCTGTTCAAGATTTATTATCATCAATCATTCTTCACGTCATAATGTCTATTCACATCTGCCTTATCAAGTTGATCCCAACAGATCCTTAGTTCAAGCATCACTCCGTTAGATTTACGATTTCATTATAGACAACTCTGCAGATTGTCGAGTCATTTTAAAATTAGTAAATAATACGGAATTTTTCACTAGTAAATTTATTCTGGAAGATACGTCATCGATAAAATCGACTTTAAATAGTGACGTCACATCAATTTGCATGTTCCAGATTTTTTGGTACATATTACAATATGACGTGGCAACAAACCTTTCTGAGTATCCTCAGCCTGAATACATTGTCATCCTTTACATACCACTTACAAAACCTGAGATACCAAAAGTGTCAAACTGTTTTGGCAGTGTAAATTCACAATTTAGTACATTACCTGCCATAGAATCCAATCCACAGATGTTATCCAGCACCTTCATCTTCGTATGATCGAGGCCGGTAGCTCCGCCGATGTCCACGTAGTCAGGGAGACCACGCTTTTTACACTAAACAAATTATTAACAATTTAGTAAATTAGATTTGCTTCACTAAACTCTACAAAATTTTGTTTAAGTATTTAAAAATAACCAACGCAACGGCAAAAAATAACAAAGAAAAAGAACACTTTGTACATCACAGAGGTTAAGGCGAAACGACAAGAAACATTAATATGAAATGTTGAATTTCAAAGAAATATTAATGGCAAAAAATATGAATCCCATTAAAGTAAATGTATGAAACGTTTATAATTTAGTTATTTTTTGTTAAAGGTCCTTTGTAGAGGTTCCTTTTGTTTTACATTTTTCCTTAATTATGAGGATTAGGTTTTGTAATAGATGTAGCAAAATATAGCTTCTTATAGCGTTGTATATTTCTTTAAATGTTTACGAAATAAAATTTTACTATTGTTAAATTGCAAGTTAAAAATTCACTACAAAAATGCCAAATTATCAAGGGAGGAACGCTTTTAGTGCAAATTTAAACACATCAATATTCATTGCATCCGACGCACGGGAATCAGACAAAATTGAGTTGCTTTTTCAATCTATAAGAGGCTTTAAGCCTTCGGAAAGTTGCATATATGTTCCGTAAAACTATTTTTAGTGTTAACTTTATAAATAACGAACCTTGATAATACGTATTTAGTATAACGTCAAGCCGTGAAACAGAATATTGCTGAAAAAAGTTACACAAGTTGAAAATAGTTTCAGTTAAGAAAACAGAACTCGTGCACTTATATTTATTGATAAGTACAATGTAACGACTTCAAATATCGTTAGCAAGTGTTGTTGTACGGTCAGCCACCCACGTTAGCCGACGCTATCTGTTGTGTTGGATATCTAGTTCACGACATTAAGAACAAAGCCGAGGGTCGCTAAGTGGATAGATTTTGCCGTGATAATTGGCATTTTTAATCACTCTCGAGTTAATTTTATAATTAGCACGTATAGAGTGAAATTTTCGTATATTTGTACAGAAACATACATGATTTTTTATACTCTTTAAAAATATAGACATAGTATGTATTTTTCATGAAGTTTTAGGTATGAAAACTTAAGTTAAACTTTTAGATAAATGACACATTAAATTCTACTGTACTGTTCAAAGTATTTATTTTTAAGTTAAGCTTTTTAAAAGTGTGAATTAGGTCAGAGCGCAGCCGCTGATAGCGGCTGTTGAACTTCCAAGCAAACATATTACAAAGCTTATCTTGAGCTTTCAGCGTTATAATGCCCTAGAAACTTTAAAAATGTAACAATGCACGATAGTGTTAAAAATGTTATACTGACTTAGTACTACATAACAAAAGTTCAAGTGAGTTAATGAACGGAAATGTAATATACATAACATTAGTTCTGTTTACCGTTTTGCTGTTAAATATAATCTTTATGAAGTAATTAAATGAACGCTAAAACTATTACTTTAGTGGAATCTTCAAAGGATAGTGATGAGCTAAAAGTCAAAAGGGTTCATGTCGGGTTTATCAAATTAAGCTTTGATCGTGATAGGTCTCGGTCGATTGACTAATTTACTGACAGAATTTATTTACTCATTAACTTACTGAAAGGATTTGCGTTAGTTAAATTAAAAAAAAAATATTAAACTTTTTAATTTTACTAACATTATAAACGCGAAATTTTAAATGGATGTATTTTTCCGTAGAGTTTGTAGCCTAAACTGCTGAATGAATCTCGGCACAAATTTAGAGGAGAGTCTGCAAGAACCCATAAGTTATTTTTCTTATAATCCTAGTTAAAGAAGAATTTAAGACGTCCAAAATTTCACATAGCCGATTTCTAAATTTTAAGACGCTATAAAAATAATACAAATAGATACGTTGTTAAATATGTGTTCGTGTACTTGAGTATAAATACATTCAAATATTGTGCCTCATTATGGCTCTTTTAACATCGCTCTTTTTATTATATCGTAAATTTTATGGATGTACATACCTTGGGCTCCTATTTACGCTACCATATTTACTTTATGTAACTATGTCATATAATAACTTAATTAAATCGCAGATTCTTTTCACTTCGTTTTTAAACATAAAAATCTATTTTTGGTAACTAACAATAATGATGTTTAGTTAATGTTTCGAAGTAATTATTTCATACAAATAAATCTAATTAAGTTGTTATTGACATTAAGTTATTTTGTAAATTTGTATATTGGCTGTAGCGCTACCCACAGAATTAACAAGATTAATTGGGCAGATAAGCCCGTTGATGCGGCGAACTTAATGAAAATTTGTTGGAAAATAATTATTGAAGTTACACAGAATTAGTATCTTTATAATTTACCTACATTAATTTAAATAAAATGTAACTACGTATTCATGTAATAGATAAATCCATACAATATATATTGAACTTTTCTCAATATGTTTTATCCGATTAACGTATCTTTATCAAATCCGTGCACCCGAAAGATTATACACTAAATTGGATTTAAAAAATATTTAAATTAATAGAACTTACGAAATGAATAGTCCCAGTCTCAAGGTTCAGCGGGCCAGACTTCACAGACTGTCCAACATCAAGAGCCAATATTTGCACGATGGCTGGCGCTATGGCCAACACAGAGCAGTTGCCAGCTTCGCCGTGGTTGCGAAGAGTGTACACGCCTTCCGGGTCAAACACCATAATGTTGCACGCTGCAAAACAATATGAATATATAACACCATACTCAGAGTGGCTTAATAGTTACTTAAATAGACTTCCTGTGTACTTATTAGTAAATTAATTTTAAATGCGCAAGTATATCAACGAATTATCATAACTCCGTACTTTTGATACGCATCGATCGACTTAAAACCGAAATGTTACTGAAATTTTTTTTCCAAATATAACCAAGTAAAACCCTCCAGCAACTATTTACCGAATCTAAACAATGAATTTTACTATTAAACTAGCTGTTACCGTGCGGCTTCATCCGCATGGAATTATGAAAAAATATTTTTTTTTTGTTTACATTTGTCAAATTATCAATAGCAAATGTCAAAATGACATGACATGATTAACCTCGACAGTCTTGCTTCCTTGATGTTGGCAGCAACTTATGGTTTCTTTCCCATATTAGAGTTATTATCCAAACATTTACCCCCTAAGTTTAATGGCATGAAAATATATAGCCTAAAGCGTGACGTAAGTGTAGAATTTTATTAAAGAAAGAATTATTCAAAAATAAACTTTTTAATAAAAAAACAAAACCGACTTCCAAACAAAATACACTAAAAACAAAACAAAATGCACTAAAAACAAAACAAAA